GTTCAGATTCCCAGACCCATGTAAATACTGGGTGGGCATGGCAGCTCACCTATAATTCCAACCTTGGAGATGGAGACAGCATCCCAAAGCTGGTAAGGGAGACTAGCCAAGTCAGCAAGCTCGGGGTTTGATTGAAAGGTCCTGCCTTGGTGAATAAGGTGGAAGAGCAATCAAGGAAGATTCCCATTATCAACCTTGGGCCTCCAAAAACAAACCCTCGCACTGAGACACACACACACACACACACACACACACACACACCAACATGCATACACATTCACAGGCATAGCATACATGCACACATGAAAACAAAGCAAAATGTAAAAGCTGAGGCTGTTATTCAGTCGCAGATCACTTTGTCTCACATACATAGGCCCTTGGTTGATTCCAGCAACCTCCTCTCACAAGAAACGAATTCCAGTGGCAACTGTACATTCACACCACACAGCAACTGCCACCTGCCAGCCTCCACTTCCACACCCAACCAGATCACTGCATAGTTGCCACTTTTATATGAACCCCTCCCCCTCATCCTCTGCAATACCCTGGCCTCCTAAATAATTTTGTTCAAATTTCACCTTAATGAACTACTTACCCTGAATGAAACGATTATCTGCCCTTCCTTTGGCTTCCACTAAACAGTGTACATGCTCCTCCCCTAAAGTAGAACTGTTCCCATATCTGCCCCTAGACCATGCTCTCCCCTGGACTCTTGGTACATGTTTGTGTGACTTGCATTCTCCCACAGAAACATCTGGGCATAGTGGTGCACGCCTTTAATACCACCAAAGCGGAGGCAGAAACAGGAAGATCTCTGTGAGTCTGAGGCCAGCCTGGTTTATATAGTGAATTTCAGAACAGTCAGGGCTACATAATGAGATCCTTTTCTAAAACAACAAAATGAACAAAAACTACAGAAATAAAAATTAGAGATTAATTCTGAAAATGATTGACTCAAGTATGTTTTCCTGATTATGCTTTATGGCCAAAAAGCAGGAGGCAGCATTTTAGAGACAATTATAGCTTTCTTGGATATGATTATACCTAAGTGTGATCCTGCCATTATCATCGCCGCCATTTTGAGATGAAGAATTTCAAAGTCTAAGAGGGATTTCAAAGTCTTAGACTTCTGACCTGCTAAACCGACCACTAAATCTACAGCTCAACTGCTATCCACTCTAGAAGTAAGTGAATAATCACTGCACTGCAGAACTACCCGCAGACACCTTCTACTGGCTACATTCAAAACCATCTGACTACCTTCTGAAAACTGCAACACATTGGGAAAAGCCAATGTATCTACTGTATATTGTAGTTCTGTAGAAAAACTGTATTTATTTGGGAAATATGCATGTTAAAGCATTTAAGGTGAAGTGTCATAATTTCTGCACAGTACTTCAAAATGATGTACCCAAACATGTTTCTAAAAGAAGAGTAAAGCAAAGGAAGGCAAATAATAACAATAAGTGGATCTGTGGGGAAGGACTGGGGGTACTCATTATACTAGTCATAAAGTTGTCCATAGATGGGAAATAATCGAGTCACAATGGAATTCAGGATGAAAAAACATGGAGAGGGCTTTAGCCCTTGCCCAGTACAAATTCCTGGGCAGGAAATCCAGTATCCCTCATAGGAGATCTAAAACCAAAACACTAGACCTCCAATAAGTATAACCACCCCAAGAGAAAAGAAACACACTGAATATAGGCAGCATGAAGCAGAAATACTGGAACAGACCAGTATTTTAGGTAGCATAATAAATATCCTCCCACACATAAAGGGAGATATTAGGAAAACTGATGAAGGAAACACACTTTTTAAGAAAAAAGTCAACTTTAGTCAACTGTCGACCAAGAATGGCGATACACACCTGTACTAGGAAGAAAAAGACAAGAGGAAAAACCAACCAAGGCAACACAGAAACCATCTGAAAAAGAAAGAACACAACAGACAAAAACACACACAATGAGGGGCTAGGGAGAAGGATCAACAGTCAGGAGAACCCACGTGTGATTCCCACCACCTACCTCTGGCAGATCACATCTACACCTGTAAGTAAAAGTTCAAAGGATCGCCTGAGTCCTCCCCCAAGCACCTGTATGCACACATGCACACCCCTACTCACACAGGCACACCTAATTAAAAACTAAAACAATAAAACGTAGAAAAAAATAATGGTTACAAAAAACAGAACACTGCATTGCATTGGAAGCCCGACAAGAGGAAAGCTCCGCATAGAAGCAGAGAATTGCAGGACAGCGCAGAGACCGGGGGAATAAGAGCAGAGACCCAGACAACAGCAAACAGGCAGGAAAATTTATTAAAGGGGATATTTTAAGAATATTGATCATTAGTTTCCTCAGAATTTAAAAAAAGCACATAGTCCATCTCACTCCAGGCAGAGTGGCTCTTTCCAAGAAAACAAATGACAACAAATGCTGGGAAAAAAAAATACAGAGAAAGAACAACCCTTAAGCACTGCTGGAGTAGATATAAATTGGTGCAGCCAATATGCAGAATCAAGGTTTTGGGGGGTAAAAAAAGCTCCCATATAAGCCATCTATACCAACCGCTTCTGGATATGCAGCTGAAGGAATCTAAATCAAACTTTATGTGTTTTGTTTAATGCACCACTATCTCCAACAGCCAAATTAAGAAACCAGCCTAAGTGTCTGACAATATGTGAATGAATAAGGAAAATATGTACACAGTGGGGTTTCACTCAGCCATAAAGGAAAATGAAATTGTGTCAGTTAACTGGAAAATGGATTGAACTGGAAATCACTGTGGTAAGTGACTCACACCAGACTCAGAAAGACCAAGTTCATATTTTCTTACATATGAAAAAAACTAGATTTAAATTGATACATAGACATGCATTTGTGTGTACCACGAAACTAAGAGAGAGGACCATGAGAGGGGAAGAGATCTGAAACAGAATGTTGGCGAAATAGAGGGTAATAGAATTCATGTGACTTGAATACAGGAGGAGGAGACTATTTGGGGAGAAGAATTGGACCATCAAGAGAGTAGGGGAGCAGTGGAGAACAGGGCCAAATTAAACAGAGTATAATAATGACACACGTGTAAGAATATGTATACTCCCAACCAACAAACTACTAAGGAAAACAACAGCAAACCCCAAGCCAGCCTCTCTAGTTCTAAACTATGCATCTTCGTGGAGTCAGATTTTCTTCATCAATTTCTGACATCAGCCAAAATAAAATACTGAATATAAAAGCGGATATGAGAATATGGCATTTGCCCAATAAGCTAGAAATAAAATAGATTTATAAAAATGCAAGAAAGTTACTTTTTTCAGGAAATGTTTTATGATTGAAAATTCGATTATTGTCCTAAGAAATGTCATTTACGCTCAAATGTATTAGTCTTGTTATCGTAAAGATTCAAAAGATATAATTATGTTTAATAAAAGAAAGAAAATGACATAATGAAATCCTTTGCTTTTTATGTTAGCTTTAAGAATTATTGAAGAGACTAAAGATATATAAGAACTGATATTGGAAGAGTTTAAAAAGAACCAGAGGGGCATGGTACTTTGAAAACTAAAACCTTTTTAAATGTGATCCTTTGTAATATACATACCTAATACATAGCCTCAAATATATAAGTAGTATTAAAATGCTAATAGAAGAGCAAAATAGAGACCAATCAAAGAAGACTTAAATGTTTTACCCTTTCAGAGACCAAGAGGCAAAGCAAAAAAATGCAGCTCTAAATAACACATTCAATATCTTCAAGCAAGTAAACACACAAATAGCTGCATACTGATAAGATTTTATAAATTATTTTCCACTATGTAAGAGAAAATAACCACACACTTGAATAAAGTCTCAGTAAACTGAAGGACTTGGTATCACAGAGATTATTTTCTCTGACCATAATATCAAAAACCATTATAGAAACAGAGCTTCAACAAATTTACCTACAGATAGAACTTGTTAAAAAAGGAAAACATAAGGGAAAATTTTAAAGCTACACAGAGAAACAACAACAACAGCAAAATCACATCAAAAGTGTTAGCTAGCTCCTGCATTACTAAGGGAAAATGGATAATATATATATATTATATCCCATATTCTAAACCCATATTCTAAACTTCAGTAATTAGGTATAATTAAGAGTTTGGCTTATTTCCTTTTTCTCATGGTGTGAAAATACTTGTAAATCACTTACTTCTTATGAGTGTGTATGTATGTGTAGGCATGTATATACGACTGTGTGTTTCTTTTTCTTTATTTTTTTTCTTGAATTTTTTTAGCTTTATTTACTTTATGTGTCAGTCTTTTGCCACATGATTGACTTGATGCCTGAGGTCAGAAGGGGACATGGGATGCCCTGTAACTGGAGTTACATATGATACATGAACCACATGTAGGTGCTGGGAACCGAACCAGGATCCCTTACAGGAGTCACTACTGAGCATCTCTCCAACAACCTTTGCATCTTTTAGCGCTGAAATAAACAGATACTGCCCTTGAAAGCCACTTGAGCAAAACATTGAAAAGTTCAAAAATATATTCGAAGCCCAGAACTATAGCTAAGTGGTAGAAACCTTGTCTAGTACACATCTAATACACTTAAATCCTTGGTATTGCCAATCTTTCTTTTTTCAAATATCCACCCAACGCCTGCTGTGCCCTCCAAACCCACATTCATGAAGGACAAAATGATAAATGAAAACCTAAAAGAAAAGTTCCACCAGGAAGTGGTACACTCACACATCTCATTTGTCGCCCAGTAAGCCCATCCAAACCTCTAACCTAAGGACACATTAAAAGAAATACCATGATTCCTTCATTAAAACTGGTGTAAAAAGAAATCAAAGACCCTGGAATCAAGCATCTCTCTCTTACCAAAGACTGAGCACTGTTACCTTCAGACCCTTCTATTCTGACATCCATTTGTGTGACATTAACTACACCCCCTCTATGTGATATTGAGACCCATAAGAATAAAACATATTTGCAAACAAGTACCTGATAGGGTAGGTCAGCCATTCTTAAGTAGGTTTCCATTTTCAGACAGAAAGGAGATAAGCTGGGGACCCCATTATTAGGTCTTGCGAACTGATGTAAAATAATAGCATCCTTGGAGTCAAGCTCTTGCTGTTTCCTGTCAAAACCAAAACAGAAATAAAGAACACCCTGCACGTTAGCTTTGTGTTGTTGTCTTAGGGCCTCAAGGGGACCCTGTAGGGTTGGAGTCCTCTGTGAACAAGCAGAAGTGTGTGTGCAGGTCTTACCTCATCCCCTGTTTAGAGAACATAAGCCTAGTAGACATGCAAGAGGTTCTTACACACTCTGAAATGACTATAATCCAGTGGCTCTGGGAAGTAACTACAAATCAGTTTGCTTCCATTACATGCAGCCTATGGGCAAGAGGATTACCTTCAGGTTTCCTCAAAGAGGAGGCGTTTTGGGTTTACTATGTGTTCTACCTGATTCTGCAGCATTCTGATGTCATGGGTATTATCTCATTTAACTTTCAAAACAACCTTATGAAGTAGACATATTGCATATATTTTATGGTTGCAAGTTCTAGAAGGTGAGCATAGTACGTCAGGCCCTTAATGCTAGCTCTTGGAAGGCTGAAACAGAAGGATCACACAGTTATGGCCTGCCTGAGCTACAGAGAATGCTGGGAGCAGAGACAGTCACGTTGTCAGTACATTGCAGAACTGGACAAAACCTATGTGCCTGCCTTATACAACACATCGGAACAGACCCTTCCCAATACAATGAGGTGATAACCGGATGGGTCTGCTGTGACAGGATGCATTTCTACGGGGAGTCTGATACCAAACATTCTATTTCCTTTTCTATATTAATAATCACAAGGATTAAATAAAACAGTATCTGTAAACATTTAGTAAGCTATTAAGCATTGAAAGTGTGGAAGAATTTATTTTTACACAACAAGATATGGTTTTGTTGACATACAAACTCTTCCCAGTTCACCAAATCTGACTCAATAAACTCCACAGAAACCTATTACAATTCCATCTTGTAGTCTGCCTAGCTTTTCCCTGTCAGATGAACTCCACTGTCGAGGCTTGGTCCTCCCTAAGCTTCCACTTTCCTCTCCACGTTCCGGCTTAATTCCGTACCGACTTCTGGCCAAGCAGGCATGGTTTGTCACCTTCACTGCACGGTGCTCGCCAGCTTCAGCATCTCCACTTCCTAAAACAAGTTCTCTTGAGGTTCACCAGCCAGGGGCCTAGTCAATTTAAAGAACTCAGAATGACTCGTTCTGAAATTATAAGCCAAAAAATGAAAACATTTACTATAAAACAAAGACTTTCCTGGATAGGAAATGTGTGGGAGGCCATATATTAAAATCCAGGACTTATTTGGACTGTTGGTAGACAACACAAACTCTACAATTCATAACTGACTTTACGCAATAAAATAATTCACAACACAAAGTAGTGTTTTGTGTAAATTAGCAGGTCAAAAGTTTAAGAACTAAAAGGCGATAAATATGAAATCCTCTGCCCTACTGGCCAGAAGAGTTGAATTCTAAAGGTTCACTTAGGCATCTCATAGTCAAAATAGATGCTGGTCAGGAGCCAGCTTGCTAATGACTTTATAGACTCGATCCATATTAGCCCACTTAACTCTGATAATAGCACTCTAAACTGAGGACTCTTAAAGTTTAAATTTGGGACACCAGACTAACATTTCATAGTAGGCAGGAAATTTAAAAGTCAGAATGTAACTTGCCCAAGGAACACCAATTTCAGATCAAGTTTGTCAGGCCAAGCCTGGCGGTAGACCCCAGCTATTCAGAAGGCAAGAAAACTACAAGTTCAAGGCAAAGCTAGGCAACTCAGCTAGACCATGTCTCAAAAACAAAAAAAGGAAAGGAAAAGAAAGGAAAGGAAAGGAAAGGAAAGGAAAGGAAAGGAAAGGAAAGGAAAGGAAAGGAAAGGAAAGGAAAGGAAAGGAAAGGAGGAAAGGAAAGGAAAGGAAAGGAAAGGAAAGGAAAGGAAAGGAAAGGAAAGGAAAGGAAAGGAAAGGAAAGGAAAGGAGGAAGAAAGAAAGAAAGAAAGAAAGAAAGAAAGAAAGAAAGAAAGAAAGAAAGAAAGAAAGAAAGAAAGAAAATGCCAAAAGTGGAGTGAGGTGATGAGGACATAGTTCTGTGCTGGGTTACTTGGCTTCCACAGGTGGAACACTGGGTCCAATCCCTAGTACAAATGAAAAAAAGGTATTATATATCAAGTTTGAAATAACTCCAGATCCCAAAATTCCAAAGAAAAGAAAACTGGCAATTTCTTGGTTAGTTCTATTAACCCAGCCAGTGTGGCTCAGCTTACTAGTGATGGCTAATCTTTATAGAATGCCCACATGGCAAACTGTCCTACATAGTTCACATGTGTTTACATATTAAGTCAACTGGAAAAGGAAGACCACTAGTATTATTTCTACTCTATAGATGATACTAATTAAGAAGTTATTAGCACCAACAGTGTCTGGTTGGCTAAATACAGAAGCAAATTTGAACCCAGATAATCCTGCAGCTCCATAGGCCTCCTATTTGTCAGGACCCACCCCCTAGTTTAGGGTCAGATAGCTGAGTTGCTTCCTGTGCAGTGTGTTTCATAAAATTACCTTAGAGTGAGATCTGAAAAGAGAACACCTGCAGAGGCCAGCTGGCCCACCGAATAAGAGACTAACTAGGTCCTGCCCTGCTCTAAGGACACCACAGATGACCATGCCTCTGTGACAAGCATGAGTCACTTGTGGAGATCTGATAGAGACTCTTCAGCTGGAGTACCAAAGCGTAGATGAGCTCCAGGGAATGAAGAATTATTTAGTCACTGAGCTTATAAGCAAATATCCAGATGCCTGAGTAAATTTATTATAGATGCCAGGCCATTTCCACTTGAGGAAAACAAAGGGTTAAGACAATAATCATTTAAAAATATAACAGTAGAGAAAATACAGATACTCGAAATAATATCCCAGACAAGTACCCACGCTTCCTCCTAGAAATAAATACATTGATTATATTCATTAATTAGGCTTCTTAAGTGGCCTGACAACTTCATTTTCTCATGAGACAAAGTCACAGACTATGGTTAACCTGGGCAGCAGAAAGTTCCAGGCACGGTAGGGAAGGCTTGAGAGCTGCCAATGAATGACAGTGCGAACATTTTACATTATGTTTTCCTCCCCCACATTTCAGGTGTTGATTTGTTTTTCTGCCTACACTGTACAGACAGTTGAAGCTTAGATTACAGAGCAAGTGGCAGTTTTCCTGTCCTGTACCCTCTGAAGCCTGTCTTCAGTGCTCCTGTCTGTCCCTTACTCTCTGCTCTTGGAAGCTAGCAGAAAGTTGCATCTTGACCACAGGCCTGTCTTCCTAGGAAATGCCCCTGTTCTTCTCCTCTCTTCCTCAACAAAACACCTCAAAGTGAGCCCTTTCTCACAAGCAGCCAGGCTCCATACTGGCTCACTCCTGTTTCTGCATAGTCTTGGGCAGATTCCTTAACTTCATTCTCCTCTTGAGTGGTAGTTGTTAAAGACACTTGCAATCACACGCACAGAGTCCTAACAAGTTCTGAAAACTTTGCCAGCCTTCTTTCAGCTTGCATTATAATAAGGTTTATCAACTCATTTCTCAAGAAACAAAATTAAATAAACAGGGATCTTAAGACATCTTGATCCAAGGAAGTATCCAGAGCTGAGATTTGTGGTCACCATAAACAGGAAGGACCTAACGTGGGCAGAGGACTTAAAAGTGTCCAGGATCCTAAGCTTCCAGGGCGTGGTCTTTTCCAAAGTGAGCTCCCAAAGCCCCATTATTTCTGCAAGGTCATCTAGGCCACATTTTAGATTCAATTATATGAAGTGTTCACTCTCCACAACTGGGAAAATGTCAGGAAGCTGCATGGTGCGGAGTCAGTCCCCACAGGCTTTGGATTGAAATAAAGTCGGGATACAACTAGCTACTGTTTAAAGTGCTGCAGAGGTGTGTGCGAGTTCTCTATATGGACAGAGCCTGACTTGAAACAGAGTTCTAAGGCGGCACATATGGGGATTAATTAATATTGGAGACATTTCACTTTAAAACTTTTGTATTTGGTTCAAGTAGATTTGAGGCAATGCGCTAAGTGAGATGTGGCGAACTTAAACCTCTCACCCAGTCTTCCACTGTGGCTAAATAATAGGAAAGCCAACACAATTTCTCAGACCTAGCTGACTTCTTACCCTCTCAGAACCAACAAACAATGTGAACACTGTCGGGCTATCACAGCGTCCTCCTGGAGCGCCCATCAGCCCACTGGAGGTCACCAGCCACTTTAGAACCTAGCACGGTATGCCTCTACTCACTATATTCTAGTCACCACACCTCTAGGGAAAGTGGTGTTAACACATCTTTGCCCCTCCAGAAAATACTGGGCAGAAGAGAAATGCTGAACTACTCAAAACTCTTCTGCCTCCAATAATCTCCAGTGACTGGGGACCCAAATGCAGGGAAATTTTAACCATAAACGGACGTAGCAGTTAACCAAAGACTGTCTCGGTATTCTGTGGTATCACCTACTCCGCTAAAGACCTATGGGACTAGTAAGACCAACACCAGGGGGCCTCCGTTTATTGTTAAGTTTCGAGTCAGCCCTGTACACATTCTGCGGCAGGCAGCCATGAAACTGTTTACAGCCCAGGGAGACTCCCTGTTATGGCAAGTACCCCATGTTCTAATGCTGCCCTCGGATCTCCTACCGTGCACACAACAATAGCATTTAAACCTGAAGGCACTTACAGTTCCACACCAGATAAGCAGATAAGTAAGCAGGTTAAGGCTGCATCAAAACTGAACAAGGGCTACTTAGCCAAGCATCTTTAACAGCGACTGGAGGTTCCAAGCTTCTGCAACTGCAGCCTCTTAATAATGTTGACATTTAGAGAGGAGTAAGGGAGAACTAACCTTTTATGTAGAGATGAGGTTAATACTTAATATTCCAGCACTGTTACCCATAAACCAATTAGGCGTTTATAAAATGTACCTTCGTATTTCTGCAGAGCTTCATTTTATTGCTGCAAAGGCATTGATTGCAGTTAGAATCTTTCTATGGGGCTTTAACAGACTGTTTTGATCCATAGCACGAGTGACTCACAGCACTTTGCTTTTAGCATCCAAATGCTAGAAGGCAAATGCTTTCCCCTCCCAATTTAACTCTCCCATCAACTCTAAATGACCCCTCACAAGTGGCCAGGTGACCATGAAACCCTTAGAGGGAAGAAGATGGGAGAGGACGCTTGGATCTTTGGGCGGCTGGACGGAGGGGCTGGCCCCGGACCCCCCTTCGCGCCAGCCCTGTCTGGGCCAGATGCCCCTGTGGGCGCCCGCGTGTGGGGGTCCCTCTCTGCGGCTCACCTAATGACCAGGAGTTCGTGGAGCAGATACGCAGCCGCGGCCAGCAAAGCTCCCCCGGTCAAATAAAGGGTTTTCTTCCACCAGGGATCCGAGCCCAGCCCTGCCATGATCCCACCGTAATCCTGCAAAGGGAAAGCGATGATGTCCCCATAAAAGGAGAAGGGTTCCTCGGACCCGGCCCACCAGCCGAAGAAAGAGATGCTCTGGTTCCAGCTCAGGTCCACCACGCACGGCCTGGACGAGGCAAAGCCAACCCCCCAGTGCATGCTGCGCGGCTGGCTCCGGGCGCCCCTCCCAGGGCCCTCGCAGCCCGCATGGGAAAGAGCCGGCGCCCGGGCGGGCTCAGCGGTGCGCGGGGGGCGCGGGCGACGGCGGTGGCGGCAGAAGGGCGCGGACAGCGGGCGGAGGGCCGGGCTGGCGGGGCCCCGGAGCCCTGAGAGGCAGCGGCGGCCGCCGGCCTCCCTGGCCGAGGCCTCTCGCAGCCGCTCTTTGTGTCGGCGCGTGGAAAGGGCCACGTGATGTCATTGCTCCCCTGGGCCGGGCAACAGAGGCGGGATAAAGTCACCTACCCCGCGCCCTGCCCCCCGCCCCGCATCTCGGCGATGCTCTGCCTCCGTTTGCTAGGGGACAACTGCAGGGCTGGCCGCCGGGGCTCGGGGAGGCGGGTGGCCTGGGAGGCTGTGACTGCGGCTAGGCCGAGCCCGCAGCCGCCGCCCTCGGTGCCGCCCGTTCCCGCAGGCGTCGTGCGGGGCGGGCGCGGGACTCACCTGCCCTGAGCCGCCGGCCGGAAGCGTCAGGCGGAGGCAGGTTAAGATCGAGAGAGTCTGGCCATCGGGAAACCTCTGCTCAGGGAGGCACAGACACCTAAGTCTGGGCAGGATGCAGACGAAGAAATGTCTGCCTTGACAAATAACAGCAGAAAGTGCTCTAGGTGAGAAATCTTCCCTCTGACTGCTTCTTTGCCCCTCAGAAACTGTTAGCTAGGATATCTCTGATGCATGCTTTGTCGGTCTCCTTCCCCTTTGGTGCAGAACAATTGTAAAATAAGCAACTGTGTATTCAGTGGTTTCCCCTACCCTGGATAACCTGAGGAGATTATTAGGAACTGAATTTAGGGCCTTATACATACATACATACATACATACATACATACATACATACATACATGTATGTTTGTATGTAGAGCAAGTGCTCTACCAACAAACTATGTTCCTCCCTGCCCTTTAAGTCCTTAAGCGCAGAGAACAAAACCGTGTCTTATAGAAGTTTGTGATTTGTGCACGAATTCTAACCAAAGCATGGGCAGTTTTAGTTTAGAAGAAATAAAATTAAAACATTAAAAAACATAAGATTCTTCACAATTAAAATGCAGGTGTGAAATTAAGAACACATTCATCGCCCAAGACAGTAGAGAATGGGGTGGTGGATGAAAGGCTTCCCATTTCCTGGACTTCGCCCCTTTATAAGAAGCAGGTAGTCCAGCCGTGCTAGAAATAATCATTGCCCGCACAGACATGGAAGGAGTCCCTAGCCTGGCTGACATGAATTTCAGGGGTTCCTTTCCCCATCCCGCAAAGTCATTCACACAGCTCCTCTGCTCTTCCCTGTGGCGGATGGAAAGTCATTGGAAAGTTGTTATTTCCTGATCTTTGACTCAAATATGGTTTAAATGGTCATGATATTCTACAGTGGGTGTCTTTAAGAAGCAAGTAGAGTCAAGTAGAATCTCACAAGAGAGGGCCGGACGGTGGAGGCACCAGCCTTTAATCTCAGCACTCAGGAGGCGGAGGCAGGTGGATCTCTGTGAGTTCGAGGCCAGCCTGGTCTACAAGAGCTAGTTCTATGACAAGCACAGAAACTACACAGAGAAACCCTGTCTCAAATAAACCGTAAAAAAAAAAAAAATCTCACAAGAGAAACAAAAAGAGCATCTTAATCTGATGCAGGTTAAATTTTAGCATGCCATAGAAGGCAAAGATTATTATTACTATAGCCAAAAATGTTGAGAGAAGACAGTCAACTCCAAAGAGCCAACACAACTAAGAATCGGTAAACTTTGAGAGAACAAGGAAAGCAGATACAAACATTAAGGCAACAGGTATGCAAGCTATGGAAGCTTTTAGCCAGCGTTTCATTCAAGGTTCACCTAAATCTCACTTAGAAAAAGCATCTGCACAGAGAAGCACAGTCCAGCTACAGCAAGAAGGCAACACAGGGCTCAGGGCAGGGATTCAACCAGTTGGTGAGCCCAAGAGAAGGATATTAAACTGCTAAACAGGCCAGAGAGGTGACTCATGCCTTTGATCCCAGCACTCCCGAGGCAGAGGCAGTAAGATCTGTCTCAGTTCAAGGCCATCCTGGTCTAGAGAGTAAGTGAGTTCCAGCACAGCCAGGGCTACACAGAAAAGCCCTGACTAGAAAAAAAAAAAGTAAATAAATAAATAAACAAATAAATAGCTAAACAGAATTGGGTTAACGAAAGAGCTGGGGAGAGTGAGTCTTTAAAGAATGGCTTCTTAAAGCCCAGGGGACACTCTGATCCCAGATTGGACTGGCAGTTGCGGTGCAGTCCTATCTCATCTGAAGACAGAAGGGGTAGGAGCTAAGCATGAGCTATCACACCCCTCCTAGGTTCCACCAGTCACTGGGATGGTTTGAAGATCCCAGGGTCATAACCAGCACCTTTATTCCATCCCGTCCATTATCACGACTGATTCTGTCAGCTTTGCTGTTTCCTGGTGGTCAAAAGAATGGAATACACCTCTGGGTATTCCTGAATGCAAACATGGCATTCTCATCTTCTCTGAAGAATAGAAAGCTTCATACCATTGTCTCCTCCCTTAAGAGTTGATTCCTCTGGGCCTGTCATTCACTTGGCCAAGAGACCAGCTCCTCAGGAAGTCTGATGCTAGCACTGATAAAATTTCCCTGGAGCTCCTACTGGCTATTTTTAAGTTCGTCTGTGAACAAAACTAAGAACCCAAAGGGGGAGTCTTAATTTCCCCTATAATAGCATTAAAATCACACTTGGTTCGGAACTGATAAGTATTTTTCTTTTCCAAACTTTTTGTTTTTCAAAATTAACTTGGGCCAAGGTGTTGGAAGGGTAGGAACTAATTAACCCAACACCACCTGCCTATGTGGTGTTATGCTACATAATTTTTCAAAACAAACTTTCTTTTTCTTTCTTTTTTTGTTTTGTTTTTCAAGACAGGGTTTCCCTGGCTGTCCTGGAACTAGCTCTTGTAGACCAGGCTGGCCTCGAACTCACAGAGATCCACCTGTCTCTGCCTCCTGAGAGTGCTGGGTTTAAAGGCATGCATGCCACCACTGCCAGGCCAAAACAAACTTTCTTAGTCACATGTTTCCACTCATCTTACAAAGAAACAAAGATCCCAAAAGAACAATGAATGGCCCATTCAGAAGCTTATCCCAATACGGTCAGTGTCAAAACCCAAAGAAGTCTGAAGTCTCACACAGTGGCCCTGTGAACTGTCTGTCACTTGCATTGCCTTTCACACCACACAAGGGTGCTGGATCATTGTCTGCAGTATTGAAGGAATACTTAGGCTACAATCTGAACTGCATCTAAATTGAATGACTACAAAACCTCAGTGACCTACAGTTACATTGTCACCTCTTCCATGACAGCTGGCCAAGAGAAAACCACACAAGTTTCCCAAACCTTTCAAGTGTATGTATATAGCCAGGTGTGTGTGTGTGTGTGTATGCGTGTGTGTGCACTCAGCTGAGGCAGGAGAATTTCCCATTCAAGGCTAGTCTGAACTACCTGTTTCAAAAAAGAAACCAGCTTATGTATCGCCTGTGAGTCAGTCAGGACACTCAAATGACAATTAGGTCACACCAGTGCTTCTCAAACACTCTGTGCACATGAATTACGGGAAAGCTTGGTAAAGTGTAAGCTCAGAATGCGTTTTGAGGAGCGCAGAAGCTCTGCCTCTCTAACACGTTTCCAGGTGATACCAGACGGGCTGAATGGCAGTTCTCCATACCACTAGCTTGGAAGGAATTCAGACCTCTGAGGACTGAAAGCATCAACCCCACCAGATCACATTCTTTTTAAGGAGTTTGACCATTACATACAGATAAAAGGATTGGGCTGGAATCGTATCAGAAATTTAAAAACTGTACCAAGACTCTAGAAGAATAATTACGGCAGAGGTGATGCATAACTGACCCTTGAAGTACTGAGCTAGGGAGGAAGCCTTGGGACAGTAGAGAAACTTAAGGAAGTGGGTAGGAGAAAAGGGGACCGATAAGAGGTGCGTTATCTTGTCTCTACTTCCCTGCCTGAGCAGTTAAAGATCTGGCAGATTTCTCAGGCATAATCAAATGAGCAAGATGGGCAGTTTATTTGTGTTAGGAAATTTCTCATAATGCTACACTTCTCATTTTAAAATACAATTTTTATACTTAAAGTATTTAAGACCTTGCTACTGTAACAAGTAGATGTGAAATGATTCTTTCACGCATTTTAAATAATTAAATGTATTAGGCTATTTTATTAAAATGTCTATGCATTATTCAATAATAAATAATTTATTTGATAATGTTCTTCTGAGTTTTATTGTAAGGATTTGGTTCTCTTGATTTGTATACTGGGTCATTTATGTCAACTTGACACATGCTAAAGTCATCTGAGAGGCCGGAGCCTCAATTAAGGTAATGTTTCCATTAGATCCGGCTGTAGGCAAGCCTGTAGGGCACTTTCTAAATTAGTGATTGATGGGGAGAGCCCATGTAGATGGAAGTTTCTATCCTGCCTGATTCTGCAGCCATTCAGTCCTAAATAAACACACAGAGGCTTATAAACTGTTTGACCTATTACTCAGACTTATTACTAACTAGATCTTACAACTTAAATTAACCCATAATTCTTATCTATGGTTAGCCATGTGGCTTGGTACATTTTTTCAGTAAGGCATTCTCATCTTGCTTCCTCTGCTGCCTTTCCTTTTCCCAGGATTACTCAGCACCATATAAAATGATGGGGGAGGGGCAAGTACATGCCTGTAATCCTAGCAGTTGAGACATAGAGGCAGGAAGATAAAGTGTGTCTCAGGCCAGTTTGGGCTACATTAGACCCTGAATATC